TTATAGTTACAAATAGATCGGATTATTTCTAAAGAAAATCCCCAGGAGACATGTCTGTTATTGAACAGACTCATCAGTTCCCGCCTGGTAAGTTTCAGCTCGTTTTGAATTTGACGATGCCTAACAGCAGTATTTCTTTTTTCCGTGTCTTCTACTATGCGTTTCAAGTGTCTTATTTCGGCTTTCAAGGACAAAATTTGGTTATGAAGATCCTGTACATTACTGTTTGCACCGGTGAAGTTGCTGCCATTAGCACTTGTGTTGCCCTCTATTTCCTGTGCGCAAAAGTCGTCTGTCCCAGCGATGATAATAACTATCGGTGCGCGGACAACCACATTCAGTATTTCATCATCAGTGATGTACGGGCATTTTTGCCTCAACAGATTGATACGTCGATTATGATGGCTCTCTGGGACAAGGATACTCCGGTTGAGGCTAAGCAATAATGCAATTATAGATAGGTTTTTTCTTCTGGTGGGTGTTGAAAATTAAAATTTGTAAAAGACCCTCCACGACTTCACTTAAAAATTGTAAATTCAGTAAAATAGTGTATTGCTGCTGCAGCGCTAGCGGCTTCTCTCTCCATATTTTTATGTTCGGCCTTACGTTTCTTTGCAGGCGTATCGTCTTTCTTTGTCATAATCTTAACTTATGACATCAGTCTTATTCTCTTCAGGAATGACTGTGCTTTCTTGGTCATAACCTTAACTTATGACCAAGCTATTCTCTTAAGGATTGACTTTATTTAAGAAAAAAGTTATGGTAGCTAATTACCACTACGTTTTAGCAGTCTAAGGGTGGTTCTTAACGAGAGGTCTCCATTAAAAGTAAATAAAATTAAAGGGTACTTTTGCGACGGTCCTTGGCTCAGTTTTTTTTTGTTGGAATTGAAACCGTAGCCATCCTAGTGGTTGATGAAATCCAATAAAAATTAGTATACCTATGCCGCACAAAATATACGAGCAATACTACGTCTTGCTATTGGTTGCAATATGGTAGAATATTGAGTGCCAAAGCGTCGTTGTGTGAGCCGTTTTGACATTTTGACATTTTGTAAACATACATTTTAGTTTTTGTTTGTTATAGTATACTAGAGTACAGTACATCATTGCATACATACTTTATGAATCTTCCGTTGGTTGGTTGTAGTGTACTATATTATATACAGGAAGTAGTTCATAATAACAATATCGCTCTTAAAGAACAAGGCGGTAACACACAAGCGACGAGTGATGCTGTCTAAACTTTACTTGCTGCTGAGAGCAATGGAAAGGGGGTGACGGACTTTCCAGCTTTCAGGTGAAGTGCAATAGTGGGGTGCTTGTTGCTCGTACTCACGCGAACTGGCAAACACTCTGCGCTCTGCTACAAGCAGAACGCAGCTTTGAGAACAATTTTCGTTTGAAGTACCCAAAGTTTTTGTTTCTTGCACGTGAGATAAACGAAACATGCAGAAGAAACAAAAAGATGGGCATGTTGAGAGGAGGTGCAATAGACGTGGAGGTACAACTTGCTGTCTTCCTGCGTATAGCAGCCGGCGGAAAATACCAAGATATTAAAATTGCGTTTGGGATTTCTTCTGCTGCTGTTTACTACATATTCTGGAGAGTTTTATACGCAATTGATGGTTTGAGTTTCCTGTATTTCCGCTTTCCAAAAGAGGGAGAAGATATTGCCAAAGCAGCAGAAGAGTTCAAATCACACTCTACTCACGGGGTGATTAGCCGTTGTGTTGCCGTCGCCAATGGCTTATTTGTGCGCGTAGCTTTTCCTCCATTAAATAGATGTCAGTATAGGCGTCGTTTATATTCTGGACATAAGACTGGTTATGGGCTGAATGCCCAAGCCATGTGTGATGCAAACTATAAGTTTGTTGCATTTTCTATCGTGGCATATGGTAGTATGTATGATCGTCGAGCTTGGGAATATAGCAGGTTTGACCTGCTAGTGGATAATTTACCCATGTTTTACTACGTACTGGGTGATGTAGCCTACAGATGTACCAACCATATGCTTACACCCGATCCTGGCACTTGTGAAGCATTAGACGATGCATGGGACGCATACAATTATTTTCAGTCCCAATCTCGCATGCATATCGAGCAGGCCTTTGGAATCATGGTCCGAAAATTGGGCCTTCCATGGCAACCCTTGCGTTTAGATTTCAAACGCGCTCCAAGAGTTGTTACAGTTCTAGCTAAGCTACATAATTATTGTCTATCAGGAGATGGATATAGACGAGCTAATAATCTAGATGCAGGAGCACCGCGTACGGATATAAATGGGCGTCTAGGACCACAATTTCGGCATCCCAATCGTACTCTCCGGCCTTCGTCTCTTAGAGGCAAAACAGAGCGCGAAGTTATCAAGCAGTACATAGAGACCAACAAATTATGCAGGCCTGATTCAAATCTGGAAAGAAACAAGAATGGAACAAGATAATAAACATTATATATAAATGCGGGTACACACAAACATGTACACCCGCACACAATCATGTACAACAACACACAAATAACCAAGCACACACAAACCGATTCAAGTGCAAGTGTGCAGGACCAAAGAAGCCCACACGCACTTGCATTGATCCATGTGTGTTTGGTAGTTTGTGTACACGTATGCGCGTTATGTACACATGTACACGTGTGTGTGTGTGTGTACACACATATATAAT